GGTGATTTCTCGCTTTCTCTCTCTCTCTCTTTCTCTGGCTCTCTCTCTCTCTTTCCAGTGAGCGTACACACCCTATAGCAAAAATATCTCTTAAAAAAAAGAAAGGAACCAGCAGTTAGCCTAACAGCTATGTTGCTGGACTCCCGTGTAGTCGACTGCGGTTCACGTCCTGGACCTGGTGGCTTAAAACTCAGGCGTGCCCAAAATCCCAAGAGAAGGGTGAAGGAGAAGGGATTGTGGCGTGGCCATCCCCCCTGGGGGGTGATTTCTCGCTTGCTGTCTCTCTGTCTCTTTCTGTCTTTCTGGCGAGCACACGCGCCCTATAGCAAAAACCTCTCCAAAAAAAAGAAAGAAGTACAAGGTAGTGAAACCTAAAGGAAGCAGTCAGACAAGTATAGAAGTGGAGCTCTGTATGACAGCTGCACTGGTCTCTTAAACTAGAAAGTGTCATGAAGAAATTGTGCGGTGTGGGGAGAGGGCATTCTAGATTACAGGAAATTTAAGGGATGAACAAATGCAACGTGAAGACCCTATTAGATAGCAATAAAAAAGACATTTTGATAAAACTGGAGAGATTTAAATATGAACGAGATATATATAAGGTGATATTAGGAATATAATTTTTATTAGGCACAATAATGATATTATGGTAAAACTGGAAAGTTTGTGGGTTTTTCACCCAGCAGTTAGCATAATGGCTATGTCACTGGACTCCCACGTGGTCAGCCGCGGTTCGTGTCCTGGACCCAGTGGCTTCAAACTCACGCCGAGCGCATGTGCGTGCGTGCCCAAGATCCCAAGAGGAGAATGGAGGAGAAGGGATTGATTGTGGTGTGGCCATCCCCCATGGGGGGTGATTTCTCACTTTCTGTCTCTCTGTCTGTCTGGCGAGCACATGCGCCCTATAGCAAAAACCTCTTAAAAAAATAGTAAACTGGAAAGTTTGTGGTTTTTGTAACTGCATATGAAAGGATTTTGAGATGAAATGCCATGATGTCTGTATGTTACTATAAAATACCTAAGCAGAAACAAACGGGAACATATAAACAGAGGAAAACTTTAACAACTATTAATCTAGGTGTAGAGTATATTGGTGAAAAACTTCATAATATGAAACAAGCAAAATGAAATGACATTATTTGGTGATACATCTGTGAAACATTACAGAAGATGGAAATGATAAGCTGTAAATTCAGGATAATAGTTACCTTGATAGGAGATAGGAATAGGGAAATGGGCACAAGGCGAGGTAATGTTCTAGTTTTTACATAAAATGGTGGGATCATGGGTGGTTTTTTTTAATAGCTTTATTTTATTAATAATTTACATACTTTGGGACCAGCAGATGGCGTAATGGCTATGTCACTGGACTCCCATGTAATCAACCACAGTTTGAGTCCTGAACTGGTCGCTTAAACTCACACTCGGCGTGTGTGCGTGCGTGCCCAAGATCCCGAGAGGAGAATGGTGGAGAAGGGGTTGTGGCGTGGCCATCCCCCCTGGGGATGATTTCTCACTTTGTCTCTTCTGTCTCTTTCTCTCTGGCGAGCACATGTGCCCTATAGCAAAAACCTCTCCAAAAAAATTACATATCATAAAATCTACTCATTATAAGTGTATAGTTCAATTATGCATAGTATATTTAAAGAGCTACGTAACTGGGCCAGCAGATGGTGAGGTGGTTAAGGTGCTAGACTCCCCCATGGATGACCACACTGAGAGTCCCAGACCTGACAGCTTGCTTGCTTACTTACTCTCTCTGGTGAATTAAAATATTACTACTGATTTTTTTTAAAATAACTTTTTTTCTAAGAGATATTTTTGCTATAAGGTGTATGTGCTCAACAGAAAGCCATAGAGACAGAAAACAAGAACTCACCCCCCATGGAGATGGCCACTCCACACTCCCTTCTCCTCCATTCTCCTTTCAGGATTTTGGGCACACACACACACACGTGCCGGGTGTGAATTTTAAGCCACAGGGTCAGGGACTTGGAATGCTGTTGACTATGTGGGAGTTCAGTGGTGTAACAATTATGCCATCTGCTAGTCCCCAAAGTTAAATGATCTGTAAAAATGTTTTATAACTAAAACTACAGTCCAATTTTAGAATAGTTTCATAACCCCAAAAAGTTCCCTTGTGTTCATTTTATAGGTAATCCCTCCTGCCACTTCCAATCTCTGGCAACCACAGATCTGCTTTCTATATCCGTAGATTTGCCTGTTCTGCTAGCTCATTATGAATGGACTCATAAAATATGCAGTCTTTCATGCTTGGTTTTCATACTAACATTATGTGTTTTTTTAAGAATTATTTATTTAATTTTATTTTTTATTATTAAATTTGTTGTAGGACACATGCACTCACTAGAGAGAGGGAGAAAGTGAGAAAGCAAGCCACCAGGTTCAGGATTCAAATTGGGGTCAGCCATGTGGGGATCCAGCACGTGGACCACCACACCACCTGCTGGACCCCTAACATTAAACATTGTTTTTGTTTTTGTTTTGGAGAGGTTTTGGTATAAGGCACATGCACTCGGAGGAAAGACAGAGAAAGACAAAGACAGAGAGTAAATCACCCCCACGGGGGGTGGCCATGCTGCAGTCACTTCTCCTCTGTTCTCCTCTCGGAATCTTGGGTACGCATGCACATGCAGCTGGTGTGAGTTTAAGCCACCAGGTCCAGGACTCAAACCACGGTCTACTACATGGGAGTCCAGCGACATAGCCAGTACGCCAACTGCTGGTCCCTGTTTTTGTCTGTTTGTTTGTTTTTTAATAAAAAACATGAAAGAGAAAGAGAACATACATGTGTGATGTGCCCCCCTCCTCTGGTGGGACTCTATCACACCACGATTCTTTTCCTTCCAGTTCTCCATCCCATCAAGATCCCAGGCACATACACATGTACTCAGGATGTTCAGTCTCCAAGGCTGGGACACAAACTCTTGTTTGGTCATAATGGATCAAGCTTCCTCATGCAGTGACTAACCGCTGAGGAACAGAGCCAGCCCAGCACTGTATGTTGTGGTTTATCCATAGTGTAGCATGTTGTTAATAGTTCATTTAACTTGATTGCTGAAAGTATTCCATTGTAAAATTTTTTTTTCTCCATTTGATGGGCTTGATATGAACATGTCTTTGTGATATATGTTTTCATTTTTCCTAGGTGGCTAACCGAAAATGAAATTGCTGGGTTGTATGATAAATTTATATTTAACTTTTATTTTAAGGTTTTTGCCATAGGGCATATGCACTCACCAGAGATAGAGACAGAAACAGAAAGAGGGAAAGTGGAAAATCACTCCCAGGGAGGATAGCCGTACTACAGTACCTTCTCTTCTATTCTCCTCTCAGGACTTTGGGCACACATGCACACATGCCTGGCATGAGTTTCAAGCCACTGGTCTGGATCCAAACCACAGTTGGCTATGTGGGAGTCCAAGGCCTTAACCACCAAGCCACCTGCTGGCCCCAGTTTAACTTTTTAAGAGTCCTTCAACTTGTTTTCTAAAATGGCTATATTTGGGACCAGCAGATGGTGTAATGGTTACATTACTGGACTCTGACATAGTCGACCACAGTTCAAATCCCAGAACTGGTGACTTAAGTTCATGCTGGGCACATGGATATGCATGCTCAAAATCCTGAGAGGAGAATGGAGGAGAAGGGATTGTAGTGATTTCTCACTTTATGTCTCTCGATAGCAAAAATCTCTAAAAATAAATAAATTAATAAAGTGGCTGTACCATTTATCATTCCCACCAGCAACTTACAAGGATTCTGGGTTTGATATGTCCTTGCCAGTGCTTGACATTGTCTCTTATTTTAATTATGGCCATTCAAGTGGGCACATAGTATATCTCATTGTAGTATTAGTTTGCATTTTCCTAATGACTGATGATTTTGAGCATCTTTTCATGCGCTTCTCAGACATTGTTACATCTTCTTTGATGAAATGTCTATTCAAATCTTTTGTTCATTTTTATATATAGTCATCTTGTTACTATTTGTTTTTATGTCTAGATACAAGCCCTTTGTCAGATATATGATTTGCAAATATTTTCTCTTAGGCTATGCCTTTTCTTTCTTTCATTTCTTTCTTTCTTTCTTTTTTTTTTTTTTTTTTTTTTTTAAGGTTTTTGTCATAGGGCATGTATGCTCACTGGAATAGAAGAGCTAAAAACTCTTAGTGAAGATACAGGAGTAAACATTTTGTGACCTTGAGTTAGACAGTGATTTCTTGGATAAATTGGACTTCATCAAATAAAAAACTTTCATGATGCAAGAGACACTATCAAGAATGAGCAAAGGGGCCAGAGGGTGGTGCAGTTGTTAAGGTACTAAACCTCCCACATGGCCAACTGCAGTTCAAATCCTGGACCTGGAAGCTTGGTCACACTGGGCATCACTTTCCCTCTCTCTCTTTCTCTGTCTCTCTCTGGTGAATGCACATACCCCATAGCAAATTAAATAATAATAATGATAATTACTTTTTTAAAAAAGAATGTGCAAAGACAATCCACATATTAAATGATTCCATCTATGTGAAATGTCCAGAATAGGCAAATCTATAGAGACAGAAAATAGATTAGTGTTTCCTGGGACTCGGGCATAGTATTAGAAGGAAATGGAGAGTGATGGCTGATAGACACAGGGTTTCTTTTGGGGTTGATGGAAATGCTATTAAAATTGATTGTGGTATTAGTTGTACAGCTCTGAACATACTCTAAAAATTCACTTATATATATTAAGTGGGTGACTCTTACAGTATATGAATAATAAAAATTTTTAAATCAAGCAATACCTAACTCTAAAAATTTTGAAGAGAAAACAACATTTGCAAATGGATCTCTACTGTTTATCTTTTGGAGATAAGGATTGAATGTTGATTGTCTCTCAACTATCATTTTTCTTTATACCTCCAGTGACCAAGTAGATTTATTAAATGCATACACATTTATGTCAAATGATATTAAATCGCAATTCATTTTTGACAGGAAATGAGTTCTTCTCAGACTTTATCACATGATGGAGGATTCTTCAATAGACTGGAAGATGATGTTCATAAAATTCTTACTAGAGAAAAAAGAAGAGAACAGCTTACAGAATATAATGGAACAGATAATTGTACAGCTCATGAACACAACCAGGCATGTAAAATAGAAAATTACCTTAAAACCATAGTGAAATTAAATGTAATTTTTCTTTTTTAAAAAAAGTAAGTAGTGGAATCCAATTGTGATTGTATAAAGTAATCGTTTTAGAATACTATCTTATTAATTTTTGTGTAAAGATATTAATATTTAGAAGTATGAAGTATATAATTTATTGATTGATGAATATTTATTGGGCATGTGCTATATGCTGTGTACTATGAGGTACTACTAGTGTATGGCTAGCACCAGTGTGGTAACACCAAAATGGATAAGACCTTTTTTTTTAGACACTCATAGAGGTAGGGATATGAGGAGGTAGACCTGTAAGGATAGTATCATGCAGTAAGATGAAGACTTTAAGGTAGAAACAAACAATAAAAAGTATTTTTTTTAAGAGAGATTTTTGCTTTAGGGCTCATGCACTTACCAGACAGAGAGAGAAAGATAGAAAGCGAGAAATCATCCCACGGTAGGGGATGGCCATGCCACAATCCTTTCTCCTCCATTCTCCTCTCGGGATCTTGGGCATGCATGCACATGCCTGGTGTGAGTTTTAAGCCGCTGGGTCTGGGACTCGGACCGCGGTCGACTGCGTAGGAGTCCAGTGATGTAACCATTTAGCCATCTGCTGGTCCCAAAAAAGAGATCTTGGGTAGAAAAGGTAATAAATTATTGCTTTGATGAATTGTATTGAGTATACTAAAAAGGCAACATCAGGGATGAATTTTTTGAATGATGAGTAACTACATAGGATGAGAACCAAAGAAGGACTTTGCAGCCTTAGGGAACTGTAAGAACAGAGTCCCTGAGCTATGAAAGGCCTTACACTAAGTATTCAGGAAACTGAAAAATTCTGTGACTGAGTGTAGGATTGAACTGAGTGAGTGAGTGACTGAGTGAAGAAATAGATTGGATTTGTATTATAAAGTCTTTTTTTGTAAAGCTAAGTTAGAATCTTATCCTTTACATGATTTTACTCCTGGGCCATAACTTGTCCTGTTATAACACACCACCTGCTGGCCCCATCAGCACTGTTTAAAAAAATATTTTCTAGCAATATCTGGCGGCCCAGGAGTTAATTAAATTAGAATAGAGAGGGTAGACAGTACTGTGAGAGCCAGTGCTGCATACTGGCAAGAAGGGAATAACAGAAAAGTAAGAAAGTAAAGGCAAAGTGAGTGTCCTTAGGGATGTTGTGGAAATTACTTACTACAAAGTTTCAGGCTGGTAAAAGTTGTTGATGGACTGTAGGTCAATATAAGGTAAGAACAGGTTCACAGTAAAGAGGAAGTAGGAGAGACTAGCGGTTGTGGTGAGAAAACTTGTTATAATGGTAGAAGTTATGGCCCATGAGTAAAATCTTATCAGCTGTCTTTTTTTCCCATGAGCTAAGAATGGTATTACATTTTTAAAATACTGTTTTTAATAAAAAGCAAAAATAAGTGACAAGAGGTTGTATATAACCTACAAAGCCTAAGATATTTACTATGAAAGGGCTTTCATAGAAAGAGTTGCCAAACTGCTACAGACCAATATCACCAAATACATTAGGGAGAAAAGGGTACTTCTTTCCTCATACCCAACTCTTGGATTCGTGGGGCCAGAGAAGGTGTGACCTAATCCAGGTTCCTCACTACCACATCTCAAATCCACCATGCAGAGAACATGTGTTACCTTTGTTTTTGTTTTTGTTTTGTTTGCAGAGGTTTTTGCTATAGGGCGCGTGCACTTGCCAGAGAGACAGAAAGAGACAGAAAGTGAGAAATCACCCCCCAGGGGGGATGGCCACACTGTAATCCCTTCTTCTCCATTCTCCTCTCGGGATCTTGGGCACTCACGCACCCGGCGTGAGTTTAAGCCACCGGGTCCGAGACTTGAACCGCGGTCGACTACATGGGAGTTCAGTGACATAGCCATTATGCTAACTGCTGGTCCCAGCACGTGTTACCTTTTACTCCTCTAAATCTGCATTTGTTTTTCTCACCACAACCGCTAGTCTCTCCTACTTCCTCTTTACTGTGAACCTGTTCTTACCTTATATTGACCTACAGTCCATCAACAACTTTTACCAGCCTGAAACTTTGTAAGTAATTTCCACAACATCCCTAAGGACACTCACTTTGCCTTTACTTTCTTACTTTTCTGTTATTCCCTTCTTGCCAGTATGCAGCACTGGCTCTCACAGTACTGTCTACCCTCTCTATTCTAATTTAATTAACTCCTGGACTGCCAGATATTGCTAGAAAATATTTTTTTAAACAGTGCTGATGGGGCCAGCAGGTGGCGTGGTGAATAATGTGGCAAGATTCCCACAAACCACAGTTCAAGTCCCAGACCCAGAGGCTTAAAAATCATGCCAGGCATATGTGTGCATGCCTGCCCAATATTCTGAGAGGAGTTGGAAGGAGAAGGGATTGTGGTGTGGCCATCCCCCTGGGGTGGTTTCTCACTTTCTCTATTTATATCTCTCTGTCTCCTCTCTGGTGGGCGCCTGAGCCCTATGGCAAAAACCTAAACAAATAAATAGTGCTAATGTACTCATCTGAAAAGTCAGTGCTACATAACTTTTGCCATATCTTCATTGCTTAACAGTCCTTTGATTAATCTTATTCTGACTTTGACAAATTCTTGCAGTAACTATTGCAAATTCTAAGAACCTGATGCTTATTCTTTTACTGTCTTCAATGGATGTTATCTCTTTGTTTACTAAGAAGACTGAAAAATTAAGTCATTCAACAAATTAAACATATATCATGTTATATGGGACACCCAGAAGTCAGACCCGTAAGAATTTTTTACTGTAATGCCACTCTGAGATTGGTTTATAAGTAACACTGTTCCATGTGAAAATATATTTTTGGTTTAGTAGTGAGCAATCCTTTCCTGCCCCGAGGTACTTGTGAACTTCTTCCTTTTTGGCATTAAATTTAGTGTTTTGCTGTCCTTCGCTTACTGCCAAACTTTATGCAGAGTCCAAGCAACCATGTTAACATTTATGGTTAGCATATTTGCTTCCTCCTTTCTCGTGATGATGGTACCCCTTTTTATTCCATGTCTTTTTCCTTTTATTTTTTAATTTTTTTTTATTTTACTTTATTTTTTTGGAGAGGTTTTTGCTATAGAGTGCGTGCACTCACCAGAAAAGACAGAGAGAGAGAGAGAGAGAGACAGAAAGAGAGAAAGTGAGAAATCACCCCCCTGGGGGGATGGCCACGCCACAATCCCTTTTCATCCATTCTCTTCTCAGGATCTTGGGCACACATGCACATGCGCCTGGCATGAGTTTAAGCCACTGGGTTCGGGTCTCAAATCGCAGTCGGCTGCATAGAAATTCAGCGACATAGCCATCACGCTAACTGCTGGTCCCTTCCTTTTATTATTTTTTTAAAAAATTTCTCTTGAGAGTATGTGTGCACACTCTGGAGAGAGAGGAAATGAGAAAGCACCCTCCAGGGGAGATGGCCTCTCTGCAGTCCCTTCTCCTCTTGGGATTTTGGGTATGCACACACATGCAGCCAATGTGTTTTTAAGCCTCTGGGTCCAGGACTCAAACCACACAGACACGTGAAATCCAGCTGCCTGAATCACTATGGCACTGACTGACTCTTTTTTTGAGAGAGAGATTTTTGCTATGGGGTGCATGCACTCGCCAGAGAGACAGAGAGAGAGAGTAAGTGAGAAATCACCCCTCAGGGATGATAGCCACACACAGTCCCTTCTCCTCTCAGGATGTTGGGCATGCACACACATGCATCTGGCATGAGTTTTTAAGTTGCCAGGCCTGAGACTCGAACCGCTGTCTACTACATGTGAGTCCAACCATGTAACCATTACACTATCTGCTGTCTCCCTTTCTTACTTTTTAAAGCTATCTCAGATCATTTTTGAAGAGAAGGAATGTTATTAATGTATTTTAGCAAGTATTTAGGTACCTCATCCATTATATAGACTAAAATTGGGTATGTGTAAGTTTAAACAAATAATATTAACTATATATAATTAAATCAATGTGATAGTGGTATAATGGACAGAGAACAGATTTGAAATCAAACAAATCTGAAATAAAAATATAGCTCTGTAGCTTATCAGTTATGCTATATTGCCCTTCTTGCACTATTATTAGGGAAGTTAGCAATTACAGTCTAACATATTTAGACTGTAATATATTTATATATGTGCGTGTATATATATATATACACACACATTTCTGTTTTGTTTTTTTTTTTTAGATTTTTTTGCCACAGGGCATGTATGCTCACTAGAGAGAAAGAGAGAGAGAGTGAGAGGGAAAGTGAGAGATCATTTCCCCCCCCCTCCTGGGAGGATGGCCACGCCACAGTCCTTTTTCCTCCTGGGATTTTAAGCATGCATGCACACACACCCCCAGCATGATTTTCAAGCCACCGGGTGTGGGACTTGAACCACAGTTAGCCTTGTGGGAGTCCAGCACCATTAACCAGTATGCCCCGACTAGCCCCTGTATATATTGGATTATTAGAAAAGTCATGACGTATTTTTTCCTATGCAAAAATGTGTCATGGCTTTTCTGATAACCCAGTAAAAATATTAATTTCACTGCAGTGCCCAGGAAAAATTGAAGGAAGGTGAAGGTTATTGATAGAATTTAGATAGATTAAGCTAAGTATTGGTAAGGCTATAGAAAAACAGTATCACACTACTAATGGGAATGTAAATCAGTATAACCATTTTGGAAACAACTTGGCATTAACTTAAAGTTGAAGATGATGGGTATGACCAGTGTTCTAGATAATCATATCCCTAGATTAAGCTGTAGAAACATGTTCAAGAAGAATGTTCAAACCTCAGTTGTTTGTGAGGCCAGCAGGTGGCATGGTGGTAAAGGATGCTGGACTTCCACATAGCCGACCATGGTTTGAGTCCTGGACCTAGTGGATTTCTTTCTCTCTCTCTCTCTCACTCCATCCGCCTCTGGTCAAATTTTAGAATAAATACATACATACATACATACATAC